CTCACCAATGACGGCATAACCTTTCTTGTTCATTTTTCCTATTTCTCTGGCGGCCCCAAACACAACCGCCCAAGAAGTAATTGCACAGAGCAAAGCTACAATAAACACTATGCCAAAAACCGCCGTCAACATTTCAAATTTAACAACCTCAATGAACTGACATCTTGAAACATGTCGCCTAAAATAAATCGAGATATCGAAATTTTAACGTTATAACTAGAAACTAAAAGTTTGAATTTAAACAAATCAAGTCTGCTTTCATATCCACATGTGACATTCTGTCATCCAGATGTTCTTAACAGTCTGTAAAACGTCGATTTTCTGTCGGTGATTCCAACAATGCTACGATATTTTTGTCAAAGCAAATATTTTCAAAAGCTCAAGATGAAGTGAATTCCAATAATTCTTTATTTTTATTTAATTTTTAAAATTAAGCAGTTCTTATGTGTCACGTAGATTTTCGAAAGTTACAAAAATCATGACAATACATCAGCGTAGCCTGAACACCAGCACCAGCAAAACCGGTCAAAAACAGATAACATGTTTGAAGGTCATGTGAGCGCCGGCCTTAGACATTCGCCCCCTCCCCCATCCCTCGGGAATGAATTCATCCCCCCCACCCAAAATATTAATTAATTTTGTTTCTCAAGCTGTTTTATATTATGTAATATTTGAATTTCATTTCGATATTCCTCTCATACAGTTGCTTTATTGATGGGCTAAAATTAGTTACTTTAATACGTTTTGTATGTTTTTTTTTTCAATTTCTAACAAGTGCCGAGCGCCCTTGAAGATCGGTCGCCACAGGGCTATAGCCCGATTGCTCCGCCATAAGCCGGCACTGGTCATGTGTAGTTAACTTTAACAGACGCACCGGACAGTCCCAATATTAAGCAATGCCTTCCGGCATCCCGAGGTTTTGCCATGGTAAATGTTCCGCTAGGGATACACTGGAATATAAATTATATGTATCCTAAACCAACAAGCTTATAAAAAATCTGGTGCGCACAACACACAACTTTCACTTACCGCTCAACTTAAAATAGAAATTATTTTCTGGCCCTGTTGGGCTATAATAAAATTTTTGAATTGCATTTTTAACTTGTAGCTATCAATTCATAAATACCATTAAAAAAACAAAAGTCCTATTTATTATATCACCGGTTGATTATGAATTGTACGATCCGCTGATTAGGGTATGATCCGTTGAACGGCTATTAGTTATTAAACTGTTATTTTCCATTGCAATGTTTACTAAAACGGAATAGAGAGATTTGCAGTCTGTGATAGACAAGTCAAAAGTTGTCATACTGATTGTAAGTAATTGGACTCTGTTGGAATATCGCAAAGGGAAAATTGATCAAATTATTCATTAATTTAATTTTCTAAAGGTTACATGATGATTTTTCGGAATAAACGGACGATATATACCGAATTATTTAAATATGATATCAGTTCTAGGCTTATTAAACTACAGTAAACATATTTATTATTAAAACACTTTATTCAGAAATATTACAATTTGTCACAGTTTAAGGACACTTAAAATAGAGTTCAGAGATTGCATTCATACCGTATATAAACATATTTAACGCTATAAACGTATCCATGAAATATTTTTATATTTCACTTCTTCTTTCACACAAGTACAATGAAATAGTATCTTAAACAATGTCATTGCCTTGAATCGGTGGGTTTTAAATACCTTCTACACCTTTCTGTATTAGATATTGTTTTTTTTTTCTAAAATTCTCCGCTATCCAACGATATATTATACGCATACTTTCTGACTATTATTTCCGGCGATTCATTTGCGACCTATTTTTTTCTCCTTTATTCAATTATCAAAAGTTATATTTAGCATTTTTTCGTAACTTTTAATAATGACAGATAGTTAATTATTTTTATAAACACAGACCATTTTTCGGGATTGGTTATTTGGACTCCGGGTACCTCAAAACTTGTATTTCCGTTGAAAACTCAGATTCGAAAATTTTCACGATCACAATACTTACCCTTACTGTATATTACATATATAGGTAAGTGAAAGTAAAAAATCTGGTGCGCACAACACACAACTTTCACTTACCGCTCTACTTTGAATAGAAATTATTTTCTGGCAATGTTGAACTATTATAAAATTCTTGTAGCGTATTTTAAAAAGAGCTTAAGCTTAAAGCTTACAGATAACAAATCGTTAAAACCATTACAATTACAAATATTTATTTATTATATCGACGGTAGGCAATAAAAATCTAGTTCCTCCATCTGTTTTTATAAACCACGCAACATCAGTTCATACCTTTATAACACTGTGAATAAAGGTATAATTTTCGCTAGGTATAATTTAAAATTAGTGATTCATTGGAGTCATTTTTGTTCAAAACACGGGTACTTAAAGAAGACAGAATATCGGAACACGTCATTTTTTAATAGAACTTGTGGTGAATCTCAACTTATTTCGTAATAAACTCACAACTAAAGTCAATTAATATGGACTTAAAGCTTATTAAACAAGAAAGTGCTTCTAAAAATGGATGTCTTTAGCATAGTTGGATGATGATAATAAAAATCGGGAATAATTCATGATTTTTTTTTTAAATAACCCAACTCAGTTTATTCATTCAAAGGTCCTATTTAAATGGTTTTAACAATAATAAACTCGTAATATCGTTTGAAGCAAATTTTGTTTAGTTTACAGTAAAGCTATTGTTAATTAATTATAATAAATAATGTTTTAGTTATCGCTTTCTATTCATCAAAAACCATGACTAACTTAAAAATCTGGTGCATGCAACACACAACTTTCACTTACCAATCTACATTGAATAGAAATTATTTTCAGGCAATGCTGGGCTATTATACAATTTTTTGAAGTGCATTTTAAACAGAGCTAAAGCTTAAACCTTACAGATAACAAGTCATTAAGACCATTATAAATAATTACAAAATGTCTATTTAATATATCGACGACAGGCAATAAAAATCTAGTCACTCCATCTCATTTATAAACCAAACAACTTTCTTTGCTTTTATAAACCACAGAATGACTAACTCCAATTTCAACATTTTTGAGTGATGTCAGTTTAGTGATATTTTTAGTTGAAAAAGTTATCTATGCAGACAATGAGTAAGTTGATTTCAGAGGTGGTGATTGCAGTATTGAAATATAGAACTGAGAATAAAGATATAAATTTAGGTACTTATTTCTTATGAAAGATGTTCTTAGGAAAAAAGGTTTTTTTAGTCTCAACAATTAAAAAAGTATATTTTAAAAGTATCCAAATTTTCGCCTCTTCTGGGAAAAAAACTAGAGACAATATCTTTCATCTTTCCTCCTATTTGTCTGATTATAACGATTTTTTTTTTGTTTTTTTAGGAAATTCCATAAACTTTTAAAAAACCATATACAATATCCCCAAAAAAGCGTATACTTTTTGAGTTATTCTGAATTTAATTTTAACATCCCTCGTAACTTTTTTTCCAGCTTCTTTTTGTTGAAGTAAGTTATATAGATAAATTTAAAGGGTATCAAGAAAATGACTTTAGCGAAGTTTCATTGAAATCAGTACATTCGTTTAGGCGCTACAGTCTATAGCAACGCAGGTTTTTCTGCATTTTTATTTTTTTTCTCCTTTATTAACTTATCAAATTCTTTCAAAAGTTATATGTAGCATTTTTTCGTAACTCTGAATAATGCGAAATGGTTAAATTTAAAAAAAAAAACATATTAAAGGTACTTTAGAGGAAGACATATATGAACATTGGGCATTTAAGCCCTGAAAAGTGACATCGACGGGGATAAGACCTAAATGATATTAAAGACCACTTAATTATACAATGATACACCGAGTTTGATCAAAATCGTTAGAGCCGTTTTTGATAAAATTGTATAAATGTGTTTCAGCGTTCATATAAAGTGGTACTTCCGGTTAGCCGATTTTAACGAACAAGTTGCTGTCACATCCGGCCCATATACAAACCTTAAATACTTAATATCAGTTTCGTACTACTTTTCGTTTATGAGCTAGACTGTTACACACACACACGGACACACACACAGACCATTTTGAGATACTTGGTTATTTGAACTCAGGGGACCTCAAAACATGTATTTCCATCGAAAACTGAGATTTGAAAATTTTCACGACCACAATACTTACCCTTACTATATATTACATATATATGTAAGTGAAAGTAAAAAAACACAAAACTTAATTTTTCAAATATTCTGCCAATGAATACTATTGCTTGTATGAAGTTTTGATAGCTCTAGAGGTCTACTATAACCTGTTTAAATATTTCCCTCTACTTAAAGGAAACTCTGTACATTATTATTTTTGAATCCTATCTAGCTACTCGAATTTTCTTAATCGATTTTAATTTACACATTTTTCATTCATTTAGCTTATTTATTGTTGATTTAATTTTTTTTGCCACAAATTATTGAAGGGGGGAGAGCATAACGATATTCTCGCTCTCAACATTTTTATTGTGACACACCAGCACAGCCTAACTCAAGTCATTCTGGAAATTTATCTGAATAATTATGTCAAAAATATGTGCCCAAAGTATTTTTAACAAAAATAATGAATTATAAAAATAATGCCATTAAAAACTATTTTAAGCAGTGCTTTGTACCTATAAAGTTGGGAGAATTGTCAGACAACATTAGAACATATAAGACTAAATACTCCAATAGTGAATAATAGATCTTCCTAGGTGATTAATGACAAAAAAATCATTAATAATGTAACGAACTCTATTATCAATAAGTCATTGGATATAATGAGAACTAATTATACTTTGATTCCTGAATAAATCAAGTTTAACAATGAATAACCAAACAAAATAAAGAAACAATTAATTTTAAGGACAAAAACATACTTTAAGAATATCATTATTATAAGGAAAAAAATAATAATAATAAATCATGAAATATCAGCTCAGTTATCTCAAAGATCATTAAAATTATATAAATAAGATTTATATTAGCTTACCCGATAGTATTGCTCCTAACATGATGTTTATTGCCTCTAACTTTGGGTCGAACAAGAGGAGCATTCCTAAGAATTCGGAGAGGATTGGCTTCCACAGGCTGTTCGACGAGAAGAGAATAAACCGCTTTTGCTTCACTGCTCAATGAGCCCTGTCAGGAATAGGGTGGGAAGTGCAGAAAGGAATTGATTAATAAGGAAAGGACAATGAAGAACAAAAAGGATGAAAAAAAAAAATAAATAAATAAATGAAAATAACAATGAAAAAAAAAATTTCATTGGAAACATCGATTTCCAACTTTTTTTATTTATGTTTTTGAAGAGGAGGTTGGTTGGGGTGATCAGTCAAAATAAAATAGTAAAAATAAATAATTGTATTTATTTTTACTATTTCATTTTGACTGATCATCCCAACCATCCTCCTCTTCAATTATTCACTACAGTCAACCATCAACCCACAATTATTCATTTTTTTAATGGAAATTAATTTCTCTTAAAAACTATGGTTTGGAAAGATGACCATAAAACCAAAAAAAAAAACAACCAATCCCATCAATTATGGAGGCACAATTTTAGACATTTTTAAAAATAAATCCAGAATATTCAACACATTTCTTTCCTTTACACAATTTTACAAAATTACATATTTTTTTAAATGAGCCACTTCAGTCTATGGCGTATGTTTTCTTGTGCATTAGAATGCTTTAATCAATCAATCTATCTTAATAGATCTACAACCCTCAGTGGGTCCTGGCCTCCTCAATGAGCTTCTGCCAAATTTCTCTATTCTGTGCGGCCACTTTCCAGTTTCTGACTCCCAACAGGTCTCTAGCGTCACCTGCCACACCATCTGTCCATCTCAATTTCGGTCTGCCAGCTCTCCTCGTATGGTGTAATGGCTCCTCAAGCACTCTTATCGGGATTTCAGACCTCTCCATCTGAGCTATGCTATGTGTCCTGCCCAACTCAGCCTTCCTAATTTTATTATTCTGGCCACATTAGATTTATTGAACAATTCGTAGACCTCTCAATTTTTCCGAATTCCCCAGTCCCTCCTTTACAGGGCCAAATATACTTCTAAAGATTTTCCTTTCAAAGACCAGGTGTTTTTTATCATTTTTGGCTAAGGTTTATATTTGGCTATAGCAGGTAAGAACTGGGCGGATGAGCGTTTTATAGAGCTGCAGCTTCGTTCGTCTACTAAGTAGTGAGCATCTCATGTGCTTAAGTAAGCCAAATGAGCATCGGTTGGCGGCTGTTATTCTCCGCAAGTGACGTCTCACTTTTTGCTGTAATTTGAGATCCCAGATAAGAGAACTGTTGGACATTCTCAAAGGTGTATGTGCCTAGAGATATTCTTTGGTTTTGGGGATTCTCTCCTTCTCCTGTATATATATATTTTGTTTTATTCTCATTAATGTGGAGCTCCATCTTAGCTGCGACTTTCTGCAATTCAAGGAAGGCACCTTCGAGAGCTGCAAAGGATCGTGCCACAATATCGATGTCGTCAGCATAACCTAACAGTTGCATCATACTTGTAAACATCGTGCCCCTAGTCTGAATACCTGAGTCTCTCACCACTTTCTCCAGAGCCAAATTAAAAAATAAACATGCCAAAGCATCACCTTGTCTCAGTCCTTTATTGGTGGAAAACTCCAAGGAGCATTCCGAATGAATGCGTACTCTGCACTGCACATCCTGCATTGTCATTTTAACCAGACAAATTAATTTAGAGGGGAAGTTTAGTTCTCTCATTGCTTCATACAACTTGTGCCTCCTTATGGTATCGTAGGCGCTCTTGAAGTCAATAAACAGATGAGTGGAAATTTTATACTCATGACTTCTTTCTAGAATCGTTCTAAGTGTGAATATTTGATCAATAGTTGATCTATCCTTTCGAAAACCAGCTTGATACTTTCCAATTTGACAATCAGCGAATGGGGCTAGACTGTTGCATAGGATGTTGGAGAGTATCTTATATGCAAACTGCAGTAACGAAATCTCTCGGTAGTTGGCGCATTCACTTTAATCAATCACTTACTCAAACATCAAAAGGTATAGTTGTTGTTAAACAATACTAACAACTTATTTAAACAATTTTTAAGATTTGGTCCTAAAAATTGCCTCAAAACATTTTTTTGTTTCCCTCCTAAAACTAATAATTTAAATTAATATCATAAAAAATAGTTTTAATTATTTCAATAAACTTATAACAACTCTCTATAACTGAACTGTCCCTGCTTTTCCTCTCACCAGCTTGCACTTGGACAGCAGAGTTAATATTAGTTTACAAACAACGCAGCCTTCATGCATATCAATTATTTTGGGAGGAAAAATGAATCAGAAATCCAAAATTTTATTTGGAAAATAGGTTCCATTAAATTATTGGTACACAAATAAAAGGAAACATTTGGCAGGTCCAAAATAAAGAGAGCTAACAAGATGTAAATTTTGAAAACAGTTTAATTATTCATAAAAATTGGTATGGGTTTCCTTCAAGGTTTGAGTGAAATACTTTTTAGAAAACAAAACTTCTCAAATGCAGTTCTTCTCTCACTTGATAATCATTCTGAAAATTTATATATAGAAAAATGGTTATCAATTTTATATTCAATACCTACTGAATTTCCTGTTAAGATCAATCAATTATAATTGAGAACTAAACATGCTGCTTCACTCACTTCAATTAAAAAATCATTGTTTTTGGTTAAGTCCTTTTCTTCATACTGGCTGGTTCTGTGTTCTTATGTTTACAAAAACACAAAAAATTATTTCTCCTAATAATTTATTATTTAAAAAAATGTAATTAATAATTATCCTTGTTTTGTGAGTGTATAAATATATATACACACATTATTAATAGGGTTAATAAAAAAAAATTACCATTTTATCAAATTCAAGATTTCAAAGGATTGTAAATATTTTAATATTTAATATTTTTTAATTTTAATACTTAACAACCTCTTTAGAGCATTCTCTAAGCTTCTTTAATACCATTCGACTTCTTAAAAAAAAAATTCATTTTAGTTATTTGTTTCAAAGAAGAAACATGACAATGTCCCACAAAATTCTCGTAATTTTAAAGCATTACTGAAAAAAAAAAATTTCACAGCCGCGGGAGCAACATGAGAAATTATTAAATATGAAGAGGAAGGTGTTCTTGACCGACCAGCGTACTGGATAGCGTTGGTTTGAAAAATTTAGCAGTGGAGATACGATGTTGGAAAGAAAGAAGGGCTCGGGGCGACCAATAATGGATATTGATGAGGTTCTGCAGGAAGCTGTTAAGTCAAATCTGTCCACAAGTATTCGCGAACTTGCCAGGAAATGTGGTGCATCGAAAGATACTGTTAGTCACCATCTACTCTCCATAGGGAAGGTGAAAAAAAGCAGTAGACTCAGTCCTCACAAACTTACTCCTCAGCAATCAGCTAAGAGGTTAGAAATTTGTGAAAAATTATTGAAAAATCCTTCTGATGAGATTTTACCAGAAGATTGTCACCTGTGATTATAAGTTGTTTACTGGCAAAATCTGAATACCCATGAGCAACAGCTAGATCGCGTCAAACTTTTCCAGTTGCTGCAAGGGGGCAATTTGAAAAAAAATCCATGCTTTGCAGTTTTTAGAATTTTAAAGGTGTTTATTCATCATGAATTTATTTCTGATGGATGCTCTATGAATTCTGAACTTTACTTCGAACAACTGGAAAGATTGTACACAAACTCGTCAGAGCATTATTCGACACTTCCTGTCGAACCAAAGAAAAGTTTAAAGAACTTCATGGGTTCGAACTCCTGTCTTATCCACAATAGTCCAGGCCTCGTACCATCGGAATAATACTTATTTAGATCCATGATCGTTTCTTCAAGGGAAATTTTTTTATAATTTTGCGGAAGTTGAAATTGTGGTCCAAGAGTTCTTTGACAGCCATCCCAAAGATGAATGGTATCAGCGTGGGATCGAGCAATTGGCAAATGACGGTAGGTAATAATGGACTATACCTTGAGTATTAATTGTATTTTATATAAAAGAAATAATAATACAAATATTTGATTGAAAAAAGGTCATTTTGTAATACACCCTATTAATTACACTATTATCATTTCTTTAAAAAATAGTTGTTATTATTATTTTTGGATGTTATAAATATAATCTCAATATATCAAAGAAAAATGCAATTAACTCATTGACTTATTGATCATTGTATCTCGAAAATGAAAATGCCTATGAAGCTGAAATTTTCATTGGAAGTTTCCCCTACGCTGTAGATGATCACCCCCAGAATTTGGCCATTAAGAATTGAGACAGCCTATATAATATTATTAAAATGCTCATCTATTTATAGTGAGTGAGTAAATAGGGCGTTCAATTATGTAAAATTGTTGAGCTTAATAATGAAAGAATCCCTAAAATATTAAAATACAATAGTGGTAAGCATCCATGGGATAGATCGATTCAAGATGGGAGAATTCCGTTAAGAATGATCTGGCAGTTGGGTTTGATCAGCGCGTGGTGGATGGTAGTATACAGATAGCGATTAGTAGTAGTGACATCAAACCTTCGGGTTAATTAAACATTTATTATCATTATTATTCTCTATTTTAACACGTGTAATTATACAACAAAAAATAAATATTTCTTAAGAAAATCAAACGTGTAAATTTAATAAAGATGAAATGAAATACTTCTATTTTCATTAAAATTGTCCATTGATTAGTTGAGTTTCTATATCTACATCAAAATGTAAAATTTTAAATAAAATTACATCCAATAATCAAATAAGCATTTGAAAATAAAAAATCTACCAATCAAAATTAAAAAACAAAACAATTAATTATTACTCACATCAACTAATTAAGTTTGTATTACCCGAGTATTAGATAAAATTTATTTATTTATAGATATCTATTCTAAATTACAATAATTCCAAAATAAATAAATTAAAAAAAACTAATAAAAAATATAAAAGCAATATAAAAACCAAAATTAAATGAAGCACGCATGCTAAACAAAATAAAACTACTAAAGTAAAATAAAAATAAAGGACTTCATAGAAAAGAAAGGAAGAAAGGACATTGAACAAAAACCAGAAGAGGATAATTAGCCACAAATAAGAATAACTCGATCATATTTAAGATTATATTTGTAGAATTTCAAAAAAATACATTTTTTCATTTAAATAAATAGATTTACTGAGCTTCACTTCAAAAATATTTATTTAAATATTTAATGTATGCTATATAAAATTATTGAAAATTTAAGGCATTAAGTATTACATAAGGCCAGTTATAGTTGGTGTTTAGATTTGTTAAACATCATGACAGACATATTTATAAATTATATGGACAATGAATATATTTTAGAATATAACAGTAGCAACTTTCTGTGATCAGATGCTTCATGTGATATAAGTATAACGGAACACACTGATGGACGGTAAATATTATTTTTATTTAACTATGATAAATAATTACAAAAATATAATGTTCCATTTCTTTCAGTAGAAGAGGAAGTAGTTGAGGAAGTAAGAAAATGTATCAATAAATAAAATAAAGTGAAAATTGTAATCAACTAATTTCAGAGTAACTCAAAATACATTAATAGTTCTGAACAATGATTGTAGTTTCGTAAAATTAGTTTTAAGATGCTTTTCAATAAATCAAGTATTATTTTAAAATAGAAAAATTAATGATAGAAAATTTGTATTTACATACTATTGTGCACTAGGACAAATAAGAAATTAAACCGCTTTTGTCCACTTAAATATGTTTCCTTATCATTTATGGAAGACCAAGAAAACATTATATTCTGATACAGAAAAATTGTTACTGTCTAATAAAGTTCAAATGTAATTTTTTTAAATAAATAAATAATGCATATATAAAGAATATTTACATTTTTCAAAAATAATAAGAAATCATAAAAAATATATAGTTTTTAGACTCAATTTCAATGACATTGTTATCAACCTTTTAAATGAAATACCAAAATATAAGTAACTAAAAGCTAAAACAAGTGACTATAAAGCTTCAGATAACACAGCAGTAGGCTGTATAAATGTAACAGAACAGATATGGAGGATAATGAAAAAAAGGTCCTACAACAAGCCACTGAAAGCAGTATCATTAAAAGTACTAATTAAAACTACTATGGCATTTAAAGAAACTTCAATAGTTCAGAATAAGAAACAATAACATTCCATTTAAGGTATTTAACCTAAATAGAGACATTAATACTGTAATGACTTGGAAAAAAAAAGAGTAATAACATTTTTAACAAAAATCCATTTGTTTTCCCAAAACATGACAATATCTGCTAAAACTTAGTAGACAAGCGAGCTTTGAGAAAATCTTCTGTAAATCCTGGAACATGTCTTAGATCTTCGGAAGAAGATGTACTTGAAGACCCAGAAGAGAGCTTTTTGGTTAGTTCATCAGATGATGAATTAGATGACTTTGAATGCCAAGAATTTGATGGAAAACCACCAGAGGAAGATGAAGAAGAAGAGGATTCGGCCCAATCTTGTGCTGGTAAAGGAGAAGCAGGAGTACTATGTGGAACCCTTCGTGACAGAATTGGAGCATGAGGATGAGGAACTCTAGCATCAGATACTGTTCTACGGTGAATCAGTCTCATCACATGGCCTTTTTCACTAGTAGGTTCAAGTGATCCTTTTAAAGTAGAAGAAGACAAGGTAGAAGAGCTAGCTGCTTCTGAAAGTGGGTCGAGTGATCCGCCCAGCGTATCTGTTGAGAGCCTACACCTTCCAGCCTCAAGGGAATCCAGCGCTTCAGTCGAAGAGTCAACCACACTTGACAATGGGTTTCTAGTGAGCAAATCGCGAGACCTAGCAAAACAAAATTCTGCTGATGCTCTATCCCACAGAGGTAAACGAAATGGAGTTCCAGAACGTAGTGATTCCAAACTAGTGCAAGAAGAAAGAGAGCGCAAACTTGTACAAACAGACTATTCATGCATGAAAACAGTAAACCATGAATAGAAGAAAAAAATATGCAACAGTTACAAAAGAATATTTAAAAATTTGTTTTAAAAAATTTATTAAACATACCCATAAGTACCCGGAGAGGAAGCCATAATAAAAATAAAAACAAGTTAATAATTATAAAAATTAATATAATAGTTTAATATTTTAAGAAAAAAGTCTCTTATCAGATAAATGCCATAAAAAAATATTTCAATATTCAGTGAATATTGATAAATAAAAATAAAATATAAGAATTGTAGCCTCTAGTTGGTACTATAAAACTATTTTCATCTTATTCCAGATCTCATTACTATTATATTATCAGGCAACAATTTAAAAAAGCAATATTATAAATATATTTTAACTTTGATAATATTAGCTTTTAAGTAGGTCAATACTTCCATAAAACTAAATAAGATGACTAAGTTGTACTACCTCGTGATAAGTACCAGAATGTTAGAAGGTTATCAAGGAAAAAAATGAAAGCTAAGACAGAATAATTATAAGCCACTTTTTAAAATAAGCAAACTGGAATAAATAAATTACCAATAGTGGGTACCTAATCAACTGGGTAGGGGCTAAGAGGCCTACCTTCCTGGCAGCGATGAGCTAATACCTCCGCATCGCAGGGATCACTTTTTATTGATTAACCAACTTATACACTTTAGTCATGTAATTGGCTACATAACATTAAAAGTTTGAATATTGGGGTAGATTGATTGCAAGAGGTATATGCTTTGCACAGTAGAAAAAAAGAAACAAAAAAACATTTAGAATCAAATAATGATTAATCAGAAAGTATCTCTAACTTTATACATTAAAATAAATATACTTTCACAAAATAAACATCTGGATACTGATTTAAGATATGAAAATATTTTCTATCAGCGCAAATGCAGCAAGAAATCATAATTTTTTTTTTTTTTTACAATATTGTACAGGAATTTTTTTTTTTCAATTTCATGCTGCTAGTAGCAGTTAAGCACTGATTTAGTGAAATAGAAAACAACATATTTCGCTGACATGGGCAGTATCAGCAAAATAGAGTTTTTTCTGTTCCATTAAAGCAGTGCTTCACTGCTAGCATCTGGCGTGATGGGCAATGCCAGTGAAATAGTACCTTAAGAATAAAAGAGAAAAATAAATTTCAGAACTGAATGCTTGAAAGTTCTTCATTAATGAACTAGTCATCTCAGTCCTATAAAAAATAATATTTTTTTGTGTGTGTGGTGGCCCAGTGGGTAAGAATAGCACCTCAGCATTCTTGAGTCAGAAACAGTTGGAATATGAAACGTGGAGGCTGATAATTATTTCTAAGTAAAACCACATAAAATACACAGACTTTCAAATTTTTCTAACCAATATTACAAAGCAATTCTCGTCCAAAAAAAAAAAATTATACTGAGGGGAAGAATTTCGAACACCATATCACCAACTCCATCATATCAAAGGCTATCATCTTTCACAAAATAGTATGATTTTCATTCTTTCATTAAACATTTTTATTGCTTTGATATTAATTTATAATACCTAGCTTTAAGAAAAAATAAAAATAATACCTAAATTCAGGAAATAATGGTGAGAAGAGGGGGAATGGGAGGTAAAGCAAAACACATGGTGGATAATATTTAATGTTTACCAAAATTGTAGCCAACTTTGCAAGGCTTCATCATGACTAAAGAATAGCTAAAGAGAAAAGACAATCATTTACATTAACAGAAAAACTAAGACCACCTTTTTTAAACATAATAGTTTTAATATAAAACAATAACAACATAATAAAATATAATAAAGAGCTGTATATAAAGGGATTTTGGATTATTTATTTAGTTATTGCCTCTACCCCTAAGAACCACTGGTATTTATTTTTAAACCGATTGTGAATATTGCATAAATTAATAAAATAAAATATCTTCTCAGAAAAAATAATATAATTTATTAATTATAAAAATAAATTTACCTGCACATCAGGTATAGATTGAGCTTCATCTGAAAATGTCCTTCCTTCAGTACGTGTTTGAGGGTGTTTCGATGGAGCTGGAAGAGTGTTAGAACTGGAAGGAAATCTGTAGAACCAATTTTAAATTAATAGACAAAAAGAAAAGACTATAGATTATGAAGATTATTGAAACATCACCTTAATGAAATCATTTCAAGAATTCTATTTAAAATTTGTCGAGTCTAATTTCATAAATGAGATAAGGCAACTATTATTTAACTATTCACAAATGAGCAGAGAATTGCTAGGCAAGACAATTGGATAGATTTAAAGGGAATGTAAAGACAAACGTAAGTACGTACTTCAGTGTATACGATTTATTAGTTTTCTCTTCCTTTAGTGTAAGAATTTACTGTTTTCCTACACAACCTGATATAGATAAAGCAGCATATAGTTTTCCATGAGAAAAAATGTTTCCATTTAAGTCAATTCTAATAGGCTCGAAAGTTTAATTTTATTATGGCAATAATAATAAAATAAAATAACAAGGTGGAAGGGGAGGAGAAATACAGCCATACAGCGTTGTTGGGTTATGCTTAAAAGTTTGGAACAGAATTTTTTTATCTATAGTGAGTGACTGCAAACAATATTTTTGGAAAGCTGAGGTAGCGACTTTGCCAACAGCTTTCTCATTTAATTAACTGCTCCATTAATAAGGGTTATAAGCATGATATGAAACTCTAGTGCCTCTCTTAATAAATGTGTTTCTAAAGCAAAAAGAATTTTTCTAATTGCATTGGTAAATCTTGAAATTACCATGCTAAAACTAATTCTGCTGCTGTGTATCAGTAGAGACAAAGAGCCAATAACTGTCAACAGAACAATTATCAAATTTCATTTTTCTTATTTATCAAAACTAAAATGCAAAATGCAGACAATAATCATAGATATAGCTGATTTTATCTTTAAATTGTCCCCATAAACAGGTTAAGGAAATGAAAAAAAAAAAAAAAAGATACATATATTAATAAGAAAATAAACAGAAAACTTACTTGAAAGATAATTTATTTTTAGCAGGACTAACTTCACCTTGCTGAACCATACATTTGTTTGCCAGCTCATAAGTAAGTGCAATAGCAGTGTCTAATGTTTTTTCATCAGAGGAAGAAATTGGTTTAACCTACAATTGTGATAAGAAATTAAAATTAAAGTATGAACATAATAAAACTGCAGTAATAGAATTACAACTAGCAAAACATGCACAGTTACAGCAAAATAAGAAAATACTATGTTACATCAAAATACAATAGAAAAGGGTTTCAACCTTGTGTGATACAATTATACAAGCAAAATACAATAAATAAATTTATATTGTTAAAAGAAATGTATGATTTGTATATTTTAGTCCGTGGTATAGACCCTTTTTTATCAAATTATTAACATCCACCTAAAACTTCGTAACCTTATCTTATATTAACCTATAAATCTTTTATCTACAAATATTCTCAGAAATGAGGCTTTTCTCATTAAATTAATTAATTCAATAGGTTCTAAAAATGTATAGATACCCATTTGCTTTCCACTTGAATCGTAAGACAATTTGATCACAAAATAAATAAAAAAGTGGCTTACAAAAATATTGTATGCCTCATTATTTTGACATGATGGGAGTGTAGGTCACGACTTATAACATGGCATAGCAAATGGTCCAATATTTTTATAGGGTGCCTTTATTCTCAATTTTGTAATCAAATTATCTAACGATTCAAGTGGAAAGCAAATCAGTGTTCGTGAGTTTTTATTTCCTAATTAAATAGACCAGTTAGCCAATCCCCAGATCGAAAATGTCCCAATTCCGAGAATTCTCGAAGATAAAAAGTTTTAGGTTACGATGAAATGAAGCTATTAGCGAAGTTTTAGGCAGATGTTAATAATTTGATAAAAAAGAGAATAATTTGTACCGTGGACTATTTCATTTGCCTGCAGATTAGTGAAAGTTTTTATATTTGTTGTGATACGACAAGGGAGAGAGTAGCAAATATGACAAAAGATAATATTATGTAATACACTAATCGCCATAAAAAATAACAATTAAAAGTTTAACAATAGTTTTAGAGAAGAAAATAGAGCCGAGTTAGAGACTTAAAATTTATTCAAATAGTAATTTATTGAAATCCAGAAGTAATAAAATTAGTGAAAATGGTTTTATTAATATTTACTACACCCAAAATAGTCAAATAAAAACTATACCGTAGCCAGTTTCTTTTTCCCTTTATTGGCAGCTTCTTGTATTTCATTTCTACGATTGATAACTTCATCATTAGCTGGAGGTGGTGAATGTGCAGTAGGTGAAGATGGCCTAGGAGGAGACTTGTAGTCTCGGAAGGCAGCATCCATCTCGTCCAAAAGGCTCGGTCCAAAATCAAACTAAAATACAAATATTTAAAAAAATTTAATAAATTAATTTTGTAAAAATAATTAAGATGTTTTGTTTAATACATAAAATTAATCAGTTTAAATTATAATCAATAGGAACATATAATTTTAACTAGTATACCTGGAATGTGGGACTGTCGACAGCTTCATCGTCAGTAATTTCATGATATTCATGATCTGATAATTCTTTTCCACAATTCCAATCCGATCCCAAACCTGTATTATAACATAATTTTAAATCTTTCCACATTTTCTACTTCAAAAATTTTATTCAGAATAAATATCAAAATTCTATAAAACTAAAATATTATTAATTTAATTGATAATTTCTTTTATTCAAGAAAGATATATTATTTTATTGTATAAGATATAATATCAACAATTTCTTCCTCATATACAGAGGTTATGTGATATTGAAATAATATACTAAAAACAATGCTTTCTCTTCAAATTTTAGTTTTAAATATCAGGACAAAATATAAATTAATATGAATAGAAAATATAAAATAAAATAATGGAGGAGAGAAATTCACAAATAAAAATTTTAAGTTATATTATAGGGAAAGAAAAAAATCACAAGATAAATTTGAACCCTGGAGATAAAGAAAGAACCCTCAAAACACTGAAGTAACTACAAGCATTTAACAAAATAATTAAGAATAATGAATAAATAATTAAGGAAGATACTGTTCACAAAATATTTTACAAAATAGAAGATATTAATTATGATTTTATGACAATAGTTCACCAGATGTTCAATGATATACCTCAAAAAAGTCAAGGTAAACAAAACCATTATTCAAATAAATCATTATATAAATAAGCAAACACAATTCGGTTCAGCCCCTTTTACTCTATTATTCAACCGATTTTCTTCCTTCTTTTTTTGTTTAATAGCGTTAGTGTTATCAATAAATAAAAATATTAAATAGTATGTGAATAAAAATATAAACAGTAGTTTGTTCAAAACAGCTTATCTCCGAAAGTTCTGCACCGATTTTTTTAAAATTTTGATACAACGTTGCAATAATATTTAGAAGTTTTTTTATACGTTTCATTATCATCGGGCCTTTCCTTTCAAAATGGCGGCCGAAAAATGTGATTCGCTTTAGAATGTAGCACCAATACGGCTTCAATGATTTCAATGAAACTTGACTAAAGTCTTCCCCTTGAAACCTTTATAATTTATGTATATAACATACTTTCCCGAAAACAAGCTGCATACATTTTTATAATGAATTCATTATTTTATTTGCGAATAACTAAAAAAAAGTACACATTTTTTTACCAATATTTATTTGAAAGCTTCCTGAATTCCCTACAAAATAAAAAAAAATCATCGAAATCGGACTATTTGTTGCAGAGATATATCATTTTAAACATTTAGTACGTTTTCTTTCCCTTCCAAATTCGATTTCTTTTATTTTGTTTTTTGATAAATCGAAAACTTTTCATTTTCTGAGGTAATTGGGTCTATTATTTGAAGAGATGATATCATGTAATGTTAGCTGAATGATACATTATAAATTAAATTTAAAAATATATTCTATAGTTATACTCATTGTTAACCACTGGACAAACACTAGTAATAATAAAACCTGCATGAATTAATAAGGAAATACCAAGTATCAGTGATCATAAGAATTTCTATAAATATTTTTACTTTCAATCAATAAAATACATGCACATTTTAATAAAACATACTATATCTATTTTTATTGAATAAAATATATTTACTGTTTACCATTGCTATGAGTGATGTTGCTGAGTAGTGGGGCTCTATCAGTAGAAATACTACCCGTATCTTCCGAATCTGTCCCTGGTTTATACGGTGCTACTACCTGTTTAGGTACGTGCTCATACTTCTAAAACATATGAAACACATATGGTAATATATTTTAAGAGCAGATTGAAATAAACATACTGAAACTACATAAATAAACAATATATCACTTTAGTTCCTCCGAGAAATGAGATATCTCCAAAATAAGCTCCATCAAGGCCCACATGGCCTGTATGCTTCATATCACCCTGAGGGCCCGAGATCATTTCAGGTTTTAATCTATTTCTTTTTGAAGAGTAAGCATTTTTTCCATCTGAAATCATTTTCCTATAATGAATATTACAATTTAACATATACAAAACAGAATACAGGATAGCTTCAAGTTATTTACTAAAAGTAATATAATTTATATTTTAATTAAATAATTATTTAAAAAATAATTTGACTACAAGGTATACATCAGAGTCATTAAATTCTCTAAGAGTAAGGAAAAATACAGTTATGCTCACAATATAAATTCAATAAAAATCATTTAATAAAAGGAACAAAAATATTAAATAGCATCCTCCGAATAAAATTTAACTTACCCCTGCTCCATTTTAGGACCCTCAATAATATTTTAGAACAAAAAATATATGAAATATAAAATATGAATGATCCCATCTTTGTACTTTGGTAGAAGTTCAAAAAATTAATAGGCAACTACAAGAATCAGACAACTTATTTCCTAACACCATGAAATATTAAACTAGAAATTTAAAAAAAAAAATTGGTAGGATTAACCAAAAAATACACTGAAGTCAGAAGGAATAATCATTGAAAAAGAAAGATATGAAAAATAAAAAACAGTTTACACCAGATTGGAGGCATTCAGCTGCTCTGTTTCTATATGTTTCCAAGAAAAAAGAGAGCAGTAATTTTTTTTTTTTTTTTAATTTATATAAGTATCCAAAACTAATCCTCAGAAATGTTGTTATTATAATCGTAAAACTCAAAATTAGTATGTAAATGATGTTAATATGTCTCATCAATTTCATTTTTTAAAACTTTATTTAACAATACCTGTTAGTAATTTAAAAAACAACAAAAATACAAACCTCCTCTAACGAATTCTGATGGCTTATTTGAAGGCAAATTAGAACCCAGGTAAGCTACTGTTAGGGCAGGATTAAATAGACCTGTTTTGCCACTATTTAAAACTCCTTTCCATAATGCACTTCCTTGTAATGGACTGAAAAAAAAAAAAATTAAACAGTGAAATGTTTTTTAGAATAGTCCACATATAAATTATGTCAACCCGAATTATTCACGATAATAATAATAATAATTTAAGGAAATACTAAAATCCACAAGTTTTTGTATGATGTTGCTGAAAATAAATATATGACTTTGATCTACTAAAATATTAATTCTGTAGTCTAGACCTCTCTTTCAGACCACTAGAAGGATGACAAATGAGATGTCAAAAGAAATAAAATTTTATGGAAAAAGTATAGATTCCATTTTCATTTCTTAAATCCTCACTAAAATATTAATAAAAGTGATAAAAAAAAAGGTAGATGGTTTCGAAACTGATGATGGTGTCTGCAGATTGAGACGGGACAGGCCAAGTTTTTAAAGTTAATATAAGACCCAGTTTCGACTTGTATACTATAGAATATACCATGTAGAAGATATCAAGTCCAATGATTAGAAGCGCTAAATTAAACATTTTTGAACAAAAATTCAATTAAGTTCCGCCTGCTGCACGAGCCTATTTAGAGTCAAAACTCTAAGTGACGTTAGAAAAGTCTGTGATATACATAAAATAAACAAGAAATAAATCTTCTTAAATAAACATAAACCAGATTGATTGATAAAGCTTTGTACCTTTTGTCAAGAACAGTAATAATATCACCAATACGGAAGACTAAATGGTCTCTTTTCAGTCTATCATCTCCTGAATCTTGAATAGCTTGCACTTGCTCTGGTTTACACTGCAGATAAAAATTACAAATAATTTATAGACAATATATTACAAGTAAAGGTAATGTCAAAACAATGATTTACACTATACAGACACTCAGAAACTTGACTTATAAAAACAGGACAAAATTATAAGGAATGTTATTTCAATAAATTAAATGGCTAGTATACAAGCCTCAATTATATAAAAAGATAAGAGTTTGTTTTGTTTTTGTTTGAATGCACTAACTGCAACAACTACTAATCAGATTAGAAAAAAATATTTTTGCATTTATACTGTGCAGCAATACAATACACTCACATCAGGCAGCTGCTTCATGATTTCACAAAACTTTGGTCTTTTATTAGGGTCATGATGCCAACACTTTAACATGAGGCTGTAATATTCTTTTGGGCAGCACTCTGGCCTTTCCAGCCTCTGAAAATAGTAAAAATGGTACCATTATTTCATGACAAAAACATATTACAATTAAGCAGTGTACCTATGAATAACCAGTGAAGGCACAAATCAATAGAGAACAACACATTGTCGGTAAAGTTCCAAACAACCACATCGATTCATTCATTTAATACAGGACTGGCTATATTATACTAACAATCAACATAAGTGAAACAAGAAAAAATTAATAGGCAATCTGTTCTGTTCTTTTATTTAGTTTATCGTTTAATTATATTAATTATTTTACTTTGTTAGGTTTAATCTCATATGAATACTATATAAATAAATTGTCTTTCACTTGGGTTTAATAAGGGGAACAGTATGAAAAATAGTGATAGTTCTAAAATAAATTTGTAGAAATGAGAAAATATGATAATATCAAGTTATAAACAAGCGGAAACAGGAAGATGAATAATAATTCAATAAATTAAAGAAGGCCATACTTCCAAAAGATTTGTATATCAATCATATTCCAAACTTTGAAATGATTTTTCTTATTTTCTTCAAAGAAATAAAATACAAAATTAGAATTACTTGGGGGTCAGGCTCATCAACTGCATCTAATATCTGCTGCCCAGTGAGCGCAGCCCATGGCTGAAAACCATAAGAAAACATTTCCCACAATGTTACTGCATATGCCCAAACATCTGAAGCTGTTGTAAACTTCAAATAAGTAATGCATTCAGGGGCACACCTACAAAAAATAAAAAAAAAATAAAAAAAAATGGAGAATTGAGAGGTTAATTTGAAGAAGAAATATACATACTAATAAATAAATTTACAATACATTGTTTTATAGCTATCAATATTTTTTTTTAAATTAAATATATTTCTCTATCTCATGAAATAAAAAAAAAACAATAACTTACCAAGCAATAGGCAATTTTAAATTGACATTAAAATTTGTTTGATAATAATCTTTTCCAACGCCTAGGGCACGAGATAGACCAAAATCAGATATTTTTACTTTATTTTTAGAAAACACTAATATATTTCTGGCAGCCAAATCCCTATGAACAAAGAAATTAAAAGTAACAAAAAACATAATTAAATAATAACAAAAAGTAAACAGAAGAATTTTTCATTATTTCGAAAACTATTGTCACAATTGGTTAGACATTATTCATCTACTTGCTTGTGAGACCAAAATAGTGTCCATATAAATAGTTATTGATATATATTCAATAAAATATAACACAAAGCAGTATGCGATTAACCCTTTAACGTTTAATGATCTGTGGTTCAAGTGACACTTAACTTCCTCTAGGGCTCAGCCATATAATTGAGTCAAGGTGCAGAATGTTTAGTGGAATAGTTTTTGAACTATCTGTATTATTTCTATAAAAATTTAGATAGAATCAAGTAAAACTCAATTGAATCAGCTTTACCACACTTACCATTGTGATTCAAATCAATTTAAAAACATAGCCTTTCAATTAGGGCATAATCCATTCTAAACCTTGACTCAACTTTATGTTAGAGCATATAGAGCTTCCAACAGTATAACAACAGCATAAAGGCCACAAAACTCTACAAGCAAATTTGTATTCAAGATTTTCAAAGGATGAAAGAAAATCTAATGGTAAAGCAAGTTAAACAAGTTTTATTAAGGCCCTTTTAAAGTTTCTTGGATAAACCTAACTTGTTAAGAAACTTAACCATGTAAAAGAGTTTTGTTAGGTCGTGGGACTAAAATGATCCAACATGTTAGAAATTTTTCACTAGACTCGCAGCAGCACTCCTTGTGTTCAGGATAAATGCTATTCTTCGAAACATGCTATGTATCCTGCCATATTTCTACTATGCTATTGTCAGTGTGACTTTGTTTATATTATTACATTTCATTACATTCTATTTATAGTAAAAATATCGGAGTGAAACCATGGCCAAGTTTTAAAATTGATTGAAGTGATAACAAACAGACCATCTCTGTACGACATTACTTTGTTTATATAAAGTGGTTAGTTCTTCTTGAAGTTTACTATCACTTTTTTAAATTGTACCCCATTTTTAATGAGACACCCATATGTAAAGCTGAAGCCTTGAGTGTTGGATCCTGGTGGTTGATAACCAAAGTACTTAACCACAATTTCTAGGACAAATTTTACAATTCTGATTAAGAAACTTGACCATGTAAACCGATTTTCAGAAGAGAGCCGGTTAAAACAGTTTGATAATGTGAATGTGATGGATAATATTCTCAACAATCTTTAAATATATATCTTAGATAAATCAGAGGGATCAGTGAGCGAGAAGGACTGAGGTTCTTCTTTTACGTTAATAGTACTATGGAAAAAGAAGACTCTGAACATTAAAGGGTTAAGGCATGGAGAATTTTATATTAGTATGTTATAAAAATTATTTAGTGATATACCTATGAATCAGTCTTTTAGCCTCCAAATATTGCATTCCATCACAAATCTGTATTGCAAAGTGGCAGAGGGAGAGTACTGGAAAACTTGATCTCAATGATGGTTCTTTCAAACATTCAAGTAATGAGCGAAGAGCAGCTAATTCTGTAACCTAAAAGTGAGGGAGAATAAAAAAGATTTTATTAAACAGTAAGTAGTTCACAGGTAGTAAAGAATCATCAAGGACGCAGCAATTGTATGCTTGAACTAAATTATTTAAGGATAAGAGGACCAATAAAAGGGCATAAGCCAATCTTTGAGAGTGAGAAGCGTATTTGTTTTAGTAGGCATGTTTCAAGCAGTGTGTAGAACAGTACTCGAGCCCGTTTTAGGGCTCAAATGAAATTAGAAGTTTTGTAATCCTATAAAATTCCAAAAATGTAGTCATAATATAATATCCCAGGCCTAAAGAAAAATGGCCCAACCCAATAACGTAGTATTTTAGAAAAATCAACTTAATAATACTACATAATTTGTTTTGACATAGTATCATGTTATTTTAAATTTCAAATACATGATAGTAAATGAAATGCAAATGCAGCTGAAATCTATTTCAATATAAGTTTTTATAGTATTCTTATCAGAGGATCAACCAGAGTAGGACCAGCTTCAAACCACGTGTCAGGGCATGTAGAAAGGAGGATGGATCCATGACCACAGAAAAAGATGAAATACTGGAGTGGTGGTCACGTCTCTTCGACAGTCTGCTGAATGACAACGTAGAAGACCTAGAAGAGTGGGAGTTATCTGGTAGTCAGAATGATACAGAAATTCCCGATCCACCCATTTACGATGGTGTGGAGAATACTTTGAATAAGCTTAAAAACAACAAGGCTCCAGGTGAAGATGGGATTCCAGCTGAGCTATTGAAGCATGGCTGGAGAAGTTTTTGAGAGCCCTCTATAATATCATCCTCATGATGTGGATCGAAAGGTAAATGGCAGAGCAGCAGAAGAGAAGCATCATCTATCCAGTTCACAAAAAAAAGGCAATATCCTGGAATGCTCTAACTCCAATAGGGTATTTGTGGAGCCTAGTTGGAGTACTTCTACAATGTGCCTACAAGGTTCTCTCTAATTTAATTAACAGGAAATTTCTCCAAATTGTAGAGAGAGAAGTTGGAAAATATCAAGTAGCTTTCAGAGGTAGGAGATCTACAGTCGATCAAATGTATAGTCTCCAGATGATACTAGAGAAGTCACAGGAGTACCGGATGACAACTCACCACCTCTTTGTCGATTTTTGGAGAGCCTATGATAGCATTAGGAGGACTAAGTTGTATGCAGCCTTGAGAGAACTTGGAGTCCCTTTGAAGTTGGTTAGACTGATCAGAATGATAATGGATGGTATAACTTGTATAGTAAGGATTCAGTCGAATCTCTCCCCACAGTTTGTATCTACTAGAAGTGTTAGACAAGGCGACAGCCTCGCCTGCCTGTTGTTCAACCCAGCCATGAAGAAAATTCAACATGACTTGGGCATAAAGACTTCTGACATCATTTGCAACCGGCTAATTCATGCACTCGGCTTCATTGATGACTTGGATATCGTCGCAAGATCTTTTGAGTCCTTAAGAGAAGCTTTTCTCAAGTTGGCAAAGATTGCGGAGGATATGGGGATGTGTGTAAACCAGGAGAAGACAAAGTAAATGAGAGCTGGGCCAGAAGCGGAGACAGCCCGTTGTGATGGGCCAATTTATGTTCCAGAAAGTTGACCAGTTTGTGTACCTGGGATCAGTGATGAGTTGTGGAAACAGGATCTTCATAGAAACCAGCCAGCAACTCATCAAAGCCAACAGGTGCTATTTGGTCTCGGAAAGCATCTAAGAAATTCTTAACTACCCCGCCGCACTAAGTGCCTCTTATATAAAACTATAAGGCCTATCCTGACACATAGGTCAGAGACTTGGACCCTCACAAGTAATGAGGAGAAAGAAATTCTTATATTTGAAAGTATAATTCTCTGACGAATATTTGGAACAGTAAGGATTGGAGAGGACTAGAGACGGAGGACAAACAACAAAATTTATCAACTTAATGGAGAGACTAACATAATTAGGTTTACTAGGTTGGTAAAAATGGGGTGGGCTGGCCACATTGCAGGCATGACAGAAGTAGAAATGTCCAGGAAACTGCTGGATGGGAGGCTCCACCAGACAAGAGGAAGAGGAAGAGGAAGAGGAAGATCACGTCACAGATGAGAGGACACTGTTGCCAGGGATACCTGCAACCAACTCAACATCTCTAACTGGCGAGTGGTGTGACAAGACCGAACTACCTGGCGAAGACTTGTCGAGGAGGCCAAGAACCATATCGGTCTGTAGCACCAAGGAGTAGTAATAGTAGTAGTATTCTTATGTCAACAGTGTCTGTGAGATAAGCTTCCTAGACACCATTGATGGTGCCAATCCCAGATAAAACAGGAGGGTTGGAGGGAGGTCTGACAACCCTAACTAACTCTTAGCATGTTAAAGGAACCAACCAAGTCTCGAATGTGAGACTGATATACAGAAACAACCTTGCAAATGTAAAGATTCAGCATATTTGCAATACGGAATTAAAGTTATGATAAAGTTTTAGGGCACTGTAGCAAGTCCATTTCGAAAAAAATACAGACAAACTATGAAGGTGGACATAGTAGTCATTCAAGAAGTCAGGCAGAGAGAAAGTGACAGTATCCAATCTTGAAATTCTACCATGTTCTATATTGGGACCAAGATAAGCATACTTTTTGAAGTGCAAGATGCTTAAAGAAGTATTGGATTTTAAACCCATTATAGCAAATCTGTGTCATGAATATAATATTAAAAATCAGTAATATAACTTGGTGAATGCTCTTTCTTCAACAGAGAAAAAGAGTAAAGAAGGAAAACTAATAGAACTGAAGAAATAGACAGAATTTTTCAAAACTAACCTGTATCTAACATAAAAGTAACAATGGGTGATTTTTAATGATCAGATGGAACCTGAAAGAACAGCTTTCACATTAAAACATATTACAATGAAGAACAGAAGATAAATTTCTCTGCATTCTGGAGCTTGAGAGTAATGAAAACAAAGAAACTGAAAAGGAGGTCCAAACTAGCGGAAATTAACAAATAATAACTGTATTTATCTAATATTAAATAAAAGTAATCCCTTGAAACAAAGGAATTCATTATTGTGGTGAACCTAAAGATATAAACAATAGACATGCAAAAATAATCTCAAAAATACTTTAATAATACAGTAATTAGAATTAAGTGCTTACTAACCATTTTTGGTATCTTCTGTATCTAAAATTTTCAATGCCTTTGAATTGTACATTAATTTATTTTTCTGTTATTTAATTTTAAAATTAAAAATAACTTAATGGTTTTAATCAAAAGTGCGAAAGACTTAGGACAAGCTCCTAAGTTCAGCGCTGAACTCATCAATGGCATCATTTAGCCCAATGTGGAAACGGATTCAATGTCATTGAAGAGATTAACATTGAATTTAGGAATTTGCTCTTACTATTAAACACTATGAAATAAGTTATCCATTGCAGTTCCACAAAGAGAAGATAATATATTAACAAGGTTTAGAGGTTAAGAAAAAAACTTCTTAACACGTTAGCTGCAACTACGGTTCCTGGGTACCGATATTTGGCTTGATTTTGGCCGGAATTGTTACGAATTTTGCCTATCTTACAAAGTACCTAAAACGGGTTGGATAGATATAAAGACAGGTACAAACATAAATAATCATTATATATTACATAAAGCTATCGGATGCCAGGGACCGTAACTGCAGCTAACGTGTTAATTCATAATAAAAATTGATGAAATAAAAAAAAATTAAGTAATTTTTAATACCAAGTACTAAAAATTTCTTGGTAATACTCAATTTTTCCATATGAACAAGATCAACTTAGTGAGATGAAATATAAGAATAAAATACAAACCAGCATGAGAGCATTTGTATCTAACACTACACCATAAAGCCGAACAATATGCTCGTGGTCAATAGCGTGCATTATAGCTGCCTCTTTTAAGAATTCGATGGGATTATTTTGCATTCTTTCTCTAGAAAGGCATTTTATAGCAACTTGAATCTGTAAAATATAAATTATGGTAGAGTAATCTTATAATAATTAAAACCTTAATTAAAGCCATTAACATTAATTATAAATAAAAATATTACAATATTGAAATATATCTATCATGAATGACAATAACTGGTGAAAATAATTTACCCTTTCTCCGTCATTAGTCCACACCCCTTGCTGAACAACACCAAATTCTCCAGTACCCAATTCTTTATTGACAATAATAGAGTCAGCAGGAATAATATGTTTGTTTGGCACTCTAACTGGAGGTCTTTCTGGAACTTCACTAGGTAAATTGGCTTCCCAGGCCTCTTCTTTACGTGGCATTATCATCTTGAAATTAAAAAAATAAATAAATTTATATATAAAACCCAAAATTCAAAGTTTATCACAGATAACTTTTTAAAAATATTTTTTTAACTAAATGTATAGTATTAAAAAAAAAATTGGTATGGTATGGTTCTTTGTTTAGTGGAAGCAAAATTACGTTATTTTAATATAAACATTACTCGTGATTTAGGATTAATCCATAAAATCATAAATTATTCTGTGAACTTTGCGAACCCAGGTGATGGACCACATACACAAAATTTTGAATCTTAGTGGGCCAAACAGAAATTAAGAATAAAAATATTAATGGAAGGGGTTGCAAGAGAAAAACTTTCTGATTATTTAATAGAATTTATGTGGCGAGATAGTATTAGTAATGATTCTTTTAAATCTTTATTAAAAATTCTTAAAGTTAAATATATTTTAATTATTTTTTAGTTTATTAAATTAATTCATTTAATTGTTATTCAGGTTATAATCGACACATGATAACTCAAAAGGTTATAATTTACACATGATCCAAAAATTGTATTGATGATATCCATTAAAATATTCTACTTATAAGTACCTAAAGGGGGTTTGTTTCTTCTATGAGTAAACATGATAAACTTTAAAAAGTTAACAGTTAAGCAATATAAAATGACCACAGGTATAAACATGAAGCAATGTAAAAAGACAGCAGCTGTCAACTTAAAGCTATAATATTGTGAAGGATCAAATAAATGTAACACACTTTTTGATGTCTTAATCATCACCAAGAATTCAATATTATAACATTATTATTATTATTATATGGTTATTTACTGAAATGACAGGGGATCAACCCACAATTATGAGACTAATGATAGCTATTTAAATCATTACTGCTTTAACCAGAACATAACTGTTGAATTTACGCTTGCCTAAAAGATAAAACAAACCACCAATATGTCTTATTTAGTTGAAGTCCAGGCATTATTAAGCTATGGCCATTATCTGTGGAGATGGAGAATCGAACTGAAAGATCCACCTCCACTTAAAAAGACATTCAGTAAGGTCCGGCCAACAACTGAAAATCATCAGTTTGGTATCTATCTCTCTTGATGTGGTATTGTGAAAAACTGCCATATAAGAATAACACTCTGGATCTAGTATCAAAAGTCATTCTAAAATATCTATTAAAAATCTCGACACATTTATAATGTGAACAAATGAGACTTTATTAAAAATATGTGAAATAATTTAATTGAAGATAAAACAGAAGTGATGTTATAGCAAATGCGGAGATATTTCACAGGACATTCACATTGTGTAATAATAATATGATAATCTTGTTTACAATACATGAGTACAGGTACATACGAACCTTCTTAAACTTTGAAAGATAAGTTTGTGGGAAATGTTTTTGGAAATACTTCTTTAATCTCCTCATCTCTGGTTTTGACATACCAAGTTGTTGAAGATCTTCATCACATACATACTTCAATTGGGCAACATTCTGAACCTAAAGAATACAAACATTAATAACACCAAAAACAAAAACATATAAAAGAAAAAAAACAAAACAATAGTTTTCTCTCTCACTTTCAAATCGTTTTTGAATCCAGCAAAATATTGCTGGAGTTCAGCTTCAATAAGAAATTCATAAAGCCCTGGGCCTTTCGAAGTCATCTTGCAAGTTATTTAAAAGCACAGAACATACTTATAAAAATGATTGATACTGAGTTCTGTTACTAGATTAATAATATGCATGTTGGTTTTCCATATATTTTGTGAAGCAGAAATATTAATGTAACTTAGATCTATATCACAATAATTTCACAGTTAACATTTGATTTACAATAAACCTGAGAAAAAAGATCTAAGAATGTTCGATACCACTCTAAATATCTAATTCACAATAAATAAATCCCTAGTAAATAAAAAACTATAGAAAAATATAAAAATCTGTTATTGGAACCTCTCCATAATCACTACGCCATGATAAACATGATGACAATATTGTGACTTATCAAGAGCTCATGTCAGTTTATATACAATGAAATATACCATTTTATTCCTTCCTAAAGTGCTTAACAATTAATAATGAAGTAAAATCAGAAATAATTTAATAGTGTATTTAATGAATAACTTTAAAAAACAAAAGTGCAATTGTGATAATCATAGTAGTGATTTTAATTTCCGATTCATTCATTCATTCATTGATAGAAGGCAGAATATCAGTGTTATAAACGAATGCGATAAACGAATCAGGGAAAATAAGGTTTTTGATCAACATATAAGTATATGTGAAAGCGAAATCAAAGGAAGCGAAATTCACGGGAAAATGTGTTTCAATCAAACTTTTGTGTATACAAAATTAAAAAAAAAAAACATGGATAAATACTAGCAAATACTATTATCATAAACTAATATTAGAGACAGAGAATAAATGTAACAACCAACAGTATTGAGTCTATTTTTTTTTTTAGATAAAAGTCTTAAAAACAAGTAATTTTTTACTAATATTCATAAATAAGTAGTTTCTTGTCATTTATTATTGACAATTATTTGGCTATGTTTTCTATACAAAAATTTAAGTTTTTTAGCAAAAAATACTTATATTAGAGCACGGATTAGAAGATCTTATTAGCGTCTGGTCCCTGTAGGAAGTTAAACCATTATTATTCCTTACGGGAGGAGGCCTTCAAGTTGATCATAATTTTAAGAACAGGCTAGTAAAAAATATATTCTAAAGAAAAGATCATAAAACTTATGTGTTGAATCTAAAAAATATCTTAAAATATTTAAAGGTGCGTCTAGACATTTAACAAACTATGGAAAACACAAAAATTTAAATTTTTTTTTCTATGCTGCTGTTTTTTAATGTTTTCCATCTGCTGTCGGCAAAAAGAGAAATAAAAAAATGTTGGTCATAGCGCTAATGTCGCTATTAATTAAGTTAAATAATTTTGTTTTCTATAGTTTATGAAATGTCTAAACCCACCTTGAGAATTGGAGCAAATACAACATGAAAAACATAAATAAATGTCGTAAAACTGAGTCGGAACACAAACCATTTTAACAAAAATTAGAATTTTAAGAATTAACATTTCTTAATATTAAGAATATTCGCCAGATACCTTTAAAATATAACATCAGAATTCAGATAACATTGTTAACATCTACTCCGCGAAAAATAAAAATAAGATTGGAAATTTCATCTTTTATAGAATTTATTAGTTGTAATAATTTACTTTTTTATTAAAAATGGATAGAACAAAACACCGTATACTGTGTTGGATATTTACTCATAACGAGAAAATCATTTTATCTAGCATCATCTCAAAATCTATATTTTATTGAATTACGTAAATCTAAAGCGAAATTCGTTCCAGGTTCCACTTTTCCAATTAAACAAGTTCCATTTTTCAATTATTTTATTCCGTGTAAAACTAGATAGTGAAAAACATATCAGTTTGCCAAAAATACTCATCATTCCTCAAGGTGGATGGGAGCATGCCTCTCACTCTAGAAATTTTAAAGTTCCCACCTTCTTGAAAATATTGGAAGCCCAGGTAGAATTAGAAAAATTGTAAATCATCTGCAATTTCCTACGATGTCTTGTTTGAAAGTTCCTCTAAAATTCATAAACACATAGTTGGCGCAACAACCGATTAACGGGTTTAGGCCTCCTCCAATAGTCTCCGCCAGTTGGCTCTATCTGTTGCTGCAGCTCTCCAGTTCCTAGCGCCCATCAGATTGTGTGCGTCCGCTGTGACGGAGTCAGCCCACCTCACATCTCTTCGCTTGCCATGAAGTTCTTCAGCCAATGTCCTCTTAGGGATCTCGTTCTCCTTCATCATTGTCACGTGGCCCGCCCATCGGAGTCTCCCAATCATGATCCACTTGATGATATCAGGATCTCTGTATAGCTTTGAGAGTTGGTTCTTCCTCCTTTCCCAGGTGTCTCCCTCTCGAACCGGGCCAAAAATTCTTCTCAATAACTTCTGTTCAAACAACAGCCATGGTTTTTCACTGGCTCCCTTCAATTATTGATACCCTACAAAAATATATTTCCCCATAATAATTTAGCATTCCTTCTACACTCTTGCGTCTTTCAATCAAAGCAGGAAATTGCTAACTTCATCGCTATAAATATTCCCAGAGCCAGTGCGAAAAAATTGACATTATCTGATGAAAATTTTGAAAGCATTTATTTGAATATTCATAACATTCATATTTAAAAAATGAGTCTACCTGAAAACATCTGGTATAACACAACTTTCACATACCTCCCTACTTAAAATAAAATTTATGAGTAATTGGTCGGAGGTGTGATCAAATAAATACTGGAGATTATAGCCCTGTTATGGTGTCTCAGAAATTACTGAACCATCCAGTAAAGTTTCAGGCGTACTATGAAATGGAGATTTCGACTATTAACAGGTTGTTTGACCTCATAGAACCGTGACCTGAGTCGCCAGAATACAAATTGTTGGTTGTGTGCACTAGCTGATGTAGGATTTTGGGGAGGGGCTTCAGCCCGAAAGCTTATTTTTTTTCATAAAAATAACGATAATTACTTTGAAAAGAAAGAAAGAAACTAACTACCTTTATGAAATGGTGTTTAAGTGGTTCCTAAAGTCCTTTTAAATGTAATTAAACGAACAATAATACTTTAAGAGACAATTTTTTAATATTTTTTTCCATAAAACGTGGTTATATTTTACCATTTTGGGAGGGAGGGCTTCAGCCCCAAAGCCCCCTCCCGTAGATCCGTCGTGGTTGTGTGTATCTGCGAAAGAAAGACTACTCATGTATCAAAAACTACTCTATCCAAAAGACTAGGCGAGAGCTAACAAGTTGAAGATGAATGAGGAAAAGACGAAAGCAATCTTAATAGGTTCCAATCACCTACTTAAAACTGTTCCTAATATCCCAACTCTGTTCCTGCATGATAATCCCATCAAATTTTACCCCACCATCAAAAACCTTGGAATAACCTTTGATCAAACGCTTTCCTGGAAAAACCATGCATCCAATATTTCCCGCCACACCATTTTCACGCTAAAACGTCTAAATTATTCCCGTTACTTATTTTCGTTTGAAATCCGTGGGCTCCTAGTTACTTCCTAAAATCGTCCCCACTTTAACTAATGCTATATGGTATATGGGAGTGTCTCTGGGGATCTCGAGGCGAAACTAAAACGTTTGACAGATTACTTTGTACGATTCATCTTCGAGATCTCAAGAGACGCCTCTGTCTCCCGTTTTTATGTAGAGCTGAATTGGCTTTACCCTTCTTATCGTCGTAAGTATTTCCTGGCATCCTTCCTCTTTCAAGTCATCCAATCAAACCGTCCTTCATACATCTCCGAGCTCCTTCAATTCAAATCCTCTGTTCGTTCCCGCAATATTCGTTCCCGGTCTTCTGATTTCCCCGAACCGCTGCTTTCGACAGATCGTTCATTATCCGATCCTCATCCTTATAGAGCTCCATCACTTCCCACATCCGTCAATCCAATTCCCTTCCTACCTTTAAATCCCGCCTGTTCAATCATTCCTTATCCATCCAGTCCCCATAAAATTGTGAATAGATACCACTATAAATATGTATATAAATTATTAGTTCGTTTTTCATTATTTTTACTTCATTTTTTATTTTGTATTATTAACTGAATAAAATTAGAAAGTAACTTATAATTTTTTATAAGTGACTATTTAATTACTCTGTATTTTTGTTTATGTATCTGTGAGGCTCCTTGACCCACATTTCTGTCTTTCTGTATTATTCTAAAGGGACTCGTCCCAGAATAAATAAAGTACTATTATTTTTTCAAAAATCAGCATTAGATAAAAAAAAATTAAACAATAGATAAAAAAAATTAAACAACAGATAAAAAAAGAAAACAATAGTTGAAAAAAACAACAATTGATAGAGACGTCAATCACAAGATCTTACAGAAAATTAAGAAGGGAGAGGGTAGGCCGACTGTCGGCGGTCTAAGCCGACCGGACCCGATGATTGTTCCACCTCAAACACATTTTGCTTCGGACCGGCCGAAATGGGACGAGTATACAAAACCCGCATAACAAAGATGCACGCTAAAAATTTCCAGCGGGCTGGTTCCCAAGATGCACGCATCTTCAGTGTGAAAGCTCTCGTTCTATTACACAGTCCAGTGTTTAGATGCATGCACTCTGCGTCTTACATCTTCAGTGGGAAAGAGGTCTTACAGTCAATAACTCATTAAGACCATTAAAATAATAAAATAACCAATTCCTATTTATTATATTGATGGTAGAAAATAAAAAACGCATAGCTTCATCTGATTCTGATTCATCAAATAAATAATTATGGATACACTATACTCTATTCTATTCCGAGAAGAACGATAAAAATGCGATAGCCGGCACGGGATTTATAGTTAATCCAGCGGCAAGGAAATCAATCATAAACTTCACCCCCATAAACGAAACGATTAGTGTATTACGAGTTAAGGATTGTTGATTTAATATCACGATAATTAACGTGTATGCACCAACTGAAGATAAAGATGACAATGTGAAGGATGATTTCTAAGCTCAGTTAGAAAATATTGTGAACTAAGCTCATAGGCATGACATAAAATAGTTATTTCAATGCAAAGATAGGACGAGAATCCCTATTCAGGCCCATTATCCGAGGCCTAAGCTTTCAAATAGCAACGACAATGGAGCGAGATTTATCAGCCTGGCAGCAGCTAAAACTTTAGTCGTCAACAGTACAACGTCCCTACACAAGGATATTCACAAATACACAATTGGGTTATTCCCAAAGGAGCGAAAAACCAAATTGACCATGTGCTGGCTGACAAGAGACATCAGAGATCAATACAAGATGTAAGAAGCTATCGTGGAGCAGACTGTGATTAAGATCACTCTCCAATTAGAATTAAACTATGTCAGAGATTGAAGCAAATTCACAAAATAGGGGATTAAGTGAAAAGAAGGAGGTACGAAGTCCGTAATTTGAAAAATCCGGAAGTAAAAACAAATTCCAACTTGAGCTGAAAAATAAATTCGAACCTTTGGACTCGGAGAGCCTCACGGAGACCCAAAACTGGGAGGAAATAGAGAAAGTACTAAAAGAAACAGCTAAGGATGTAATAACTATTCAGGAGAAAAGAAAAACTAATTTAATATATAGTTCAAAGAAGCAGTAGAGGAATGAAGAAAAATGAAAGTCATCTACCTAGTTACAGATGGTCAGGTTGCTCAGGACAATTACACAAAATTATAAGATCGGCAAAAAGGGAATTCCTTGAAAAAGGGAAAGATTGCTGACCATTGAAGACAACATATGCGAATTCTATGCAGACATTAGGAAAGGAAGGATAGGGTATAAAGCAAGAAATACGCAAATAAGAGAAAAATATGCCATTCAGAGGGTATCTAAAGAAAAAGACATTGAGCATTTGGAAAGAACATTTCAAGGAACTTCTCAATCAAGGGAATCCCACTGATGAAAAAGATATGGACTACACTGAGGACCTCGACCCAGAAGAGGTTGAAAAACCACATATACTGGATGTAGAAATAGCTATCAAAAAGCATAAAACAAGAAAGGGAACAGGGGTGGACAACCTACCATCAGAACTGTTAAAAGATGGAAGAGAGGACTTAAAAGCCAAGCTACTACAACTAATCCAGGAAATATGGGAAGAGGAAAGGATACCTGAGGCTTGGAATATGGACTTAATCTGTTTTATCCTAAAGAAAGGCTCCATGTATGACTGTAGTAATTACAGAGGCATAGCACTTCTTCTGGTTGCCTACAAGATAATGACCAACATCCTATTAATGCTGATATATCCCTATTACAAAAACATAATAGGCGACCGCTGGATTCAGAAAGGGAAGGAGGAGGTTAGACCAGATCTTCATCCTTAAGCAAGTACTTGAAAAACGATAGAAATTAGCTCAGGATGTCCACACCCTATTTGTCGATTTCAAAGCAGCCTAGGATTCTGTGGACAGGAACTGTCTTTGGAAAATCATGACTGAACTGGAAGTTCACGGTAAATTGGTGAGATTGACAAGTGTGTGTACATATGACCATAAATGCCGAGTCCTAATATAAGGAGAAGTATCTGAAGCCTTCAAAGTTCAAACAACAGTTCTTCATCACTCTCCATTATCTTTTACGACTTTCTATATTAAATATTAGAATTTTTTTCTAAAATTCTCAACTACCCAATGATATAATATATACATACCTTCCGACTATTATTTCCAGAGATTCATTTTCAAACTAAATAAACATTTTTCCTTTGTTTCCACTTGTTTTATCTAGTAATGTTTCACTTTATTGAGCACTTTTCCTCAATTCAGATTTCTGGAGTTTCCATACTTTTAAATATCAAAACATTCATCATCCTGAGGACTTTTGCAAGCTTCATGTAATATACCCAATACAATAGATAAAGCATAGTATGGTCTCTAATATACTATACTTAACAACCTTGCGGTTAACTCTTGATGATGGATCCCCTACGTTAATGAAAGCATTTATTAGCAGTTGTTAATACAGTTGCGATGTTTGGCACTGCTTTAAGATGTTTGGTACAGCACCATCCATAGAGAGAGAACAAGCCATCATTTAAAACAATACTCAGTTAAAAATACCAGGGTGATGGGCACAGAAGTATATTAGAATTAGAGTGGAAAATTATTAGAAAAGAAAAGTTTTAATAATCTAGTTTCCTCTAAATGCAGGTTGGTATCATCATAATTCCATAACAAAAATATTTCAAGTTCTTTTTCTAGTATAAATGATTATTTTAGCCTCTGCATGTATGATATAGGTAATAAAATTACATAGTATCTCCGTGTATAGATTATTTTATAACTTAATTGTTATACAAGTATATTCTCGCAATTCACAGAAGAGGAAATATTTAAATAAATAAAAAAAAAAAAGGACCTATACCCTACATGACTTTTTCTTAAATTTATTTGGTCTGTGGAATCTCCTTCTTGAATATTTTTTTGAGGACCACATTCCAACTCTGAGCAGTTAGTTGTTTTTTTAATAACTAGTTGAATAACAACATATACCTTAATAATGTGGACCATTTTTATCCAGTATTGTTATTAAATGAGTTTTATTTGAATAAAAGCAAAAGTTGGGATATTAAAAGTTGATTCCAAATTATTTCGATGACTCCAGGTAATTGTTAAGGGGTCTGTAAACTAGGTAGTAATCTCTGGCCTATCCTATAGAGAAATAATTATTATGAAAGTAACAGAATATAGCAGATAAGGGCATACAATTATGGCACCTTAGATTGAGATTGGATACATTGATAGATAGATAGATGGAACAAGATAAAATACTTCCAAGCAATATTATTAAAAGGTTCGGCACATCTCTCTAGCGGATCCAGGATTTAATTTTGGGGTGCTTCAGCCTGAAAGATTTTTTTTTTCATATACATATAACGATAATTAATTTTTTAAAAAAGGAAAGAAATTAACCTATATGAAATAGTGTTTAATTGGTTCTTGAAGTCTTATTAAATATAATTACACGAACAAGAATACTTTAAGAGATAGTATTTAATATTTTTTTCTGTAAAGCATGGTTATGTTTTACCATTTTGGGGAGGGCTTCAGCCGGAAAGCCTCCCCCACCCTCCTCCCTCCCCCCCCCCCTCCGTAGATCTGCCTGTGGCACATCTGATACACATACAGGAATTAAAATTTTCATAGAAATATTAATAAGATTGTATAAAATCATATTAATTAAAATGATTTTAAGTAAATTAAAAGGAAATTAAAACAATTAAAAATATATACATTTTATTCATATATAACGGAATTTAATTTTAAATAATTCATATATTCAGATAATACTCACAAAAATAATAAATATTTTCAGTCTATCTTATAACATTAATACACTAACATAATACATAAATAAGTACATTTGTGAATAAAACTATATAAATGAAAAACCATCACTGCAAAACTAAGATAAATATTATTTAAAATTGATACTGAGCTTTAATTACAGATTTTAGAAAACAAAAGTTATACATTTTTCAACCATGTGTGCAGACAGATATTTAACTTTTACTTATTCCAAAAAAAAAAACAAATAATAATAAAAAAATAAAATAACTGATAAAATATAAAGAAAGCACATAAAATCGAGAGGAAACTAATCAATAAATATAAAGCTGTTTGGTTTCTAGTTTCATAAGTTCTGATCTAATACATTAAAGTGATCCATAACCTACTCAATGAAATATTTTCTAAAAAAAAAATAATCCATTATATAAAAATCATTCACTTCATATAACAATAAATTTTAATAAGGACAATAAACAAAATGTTTATATGAATTACTTTTTTGGGACTAATATTAAATTTTTAAGGTTTTAAAGCAGAACATTCACTGTTGCAGGGACCTCAGCCAAAAAAGTGCAGCCTTAAGAGAAGATAGTTTTAGCCTACTTAAAAATGATCCAATAAGTCGATATTCAGCTTCACTTCTTCTTTGACCAAAACTGGTGGTCGTTAGAACCTTTGTTGTTAAGCAAAGCAGCCACTGCATGATCTAAAAATTAAAAAAGAAAGCTTATCTGTAAGAACATTAAATACGTAAACCTAAATAATAACTATGTTTAAACATAAATTGTACAAACGAAACAAATCCTTGATGTCAAACAAACAAATATGCAAAAGCTCGTATTTTATATTATTTTACACATAATTTGATTATTTTAACCAAGCAAAAAAAATAACTAATGATAATAATAATAAAATGCAATATTGAACATGAAATGCCACATAACAATTTAAGTTCAATTTCAATCAACAAACAAACAGAGCAGTGCTACTTTCAGTAATTTACTTCATAGAATATAGATTTTTTTATTTTCCCTTCTTATTCCTTTTGCATAAAACGCCCACTTTTCCTTTGTTTCTTTTTTTTCCAAATAGTAATATTGATCATAATTTTAAATTAGAAGTAAGTACATTATTTTCTTCACAATTGATTTATTACACCCTAATAATACCAAATGTGAAACATTTTTTTAATTCATGGAAAAGAACGTTTTTTCATTGTTAGAAACAAGTGTCAAGTGAAAACAAGTCAATAATTTTAAGTATGGATAAATTTGATTATACTGCGCCTATTGATCATTTTCATATTACAAAAATACTTCAAATGAAAGAAGATTAGAATATAAATGGAAAAACCCGAACCATAAAATCTTGATTCTCTAACATAAAGGTGAACAGTTAATCTGTGTCTAAATGGGTTTTTCAAATTATATCCTCATTACTTTATGTCTCTTTTTGAGCTGTATGTTCATTATATATTATATATTTATGTACAATTATAATCATATAATTTATTTACAATTATAATTATATTACAATTGTATATAATTTATATATACATTATAGATTATATTTTTCACAACCAAATTTTAAAATTTATTTAATTTTAATGTAGAACATGCCGCTCACTACGCTAATCCATCTGTGTTTTATTTATTTTATTCATGTAATTCATGAATTAATTTTTAATGACAATAATTATCTTTTATTACTAATTTTATGTTTCTATTACTTTCATAATTTAGTTTAAAGTATCTCACATTATATTTTTTAACATTAACACTTATGTTTAATACTTTTACGTTAATGTATCTTTAATAATTTTACATGGTTGTTGTTTCTCATGCGTTAGTTTGTGTTTTAACAATTTTAATATTCGTATATTTATTTATTTTTTAAATATAGTCAACTTTTTATCTTTTATAAATAAAAATATATTTATAGATGAAGAAGATGAAAAAGAAGAAAGAAGAAGAAAAGTAAATTTCATATGTGGTATTTGTATGATAAATGTATTTCAGCAATTTCCTATTGCTGTTTATTTCTTGCAACAAATTGGATGTTTATATTACTTTTGTATTTAGTATAACATTTTATTTCACTTATACCAATTCATAGAAAATGTTATTAACATTTTGCTAATAATAATATACTGACAAAATTTCAGTTTAAATCCACCTTTACCATAACTTAAGTCCCAGCCAACTCTGAGCAGGAGAGCTCCTTGCAATTTCATATACAACTTAAATTTTAAAGGCATAAAGAACGACAAATATCTTGGCATATCTTTCAATAACAAAAATAAAATAACTACAAAGATTGAAAGAAGAATTATGCTAGAGAATTGGAAGTTGTTCTGCTCACAACTGTTGTCCAGAAAGACAAAAATCAGGTTATACAATGCTCAGGTTAGGTCCATAGTTACCTGTAGCGCAGAGGCTTGGAGTATCTCTGCTGCAGACAGTAATTGTTTAGGAAACTTTCCAAATTTAATTAAAGTAAAGGCTAGTAACTCTAATAATATAGGCAACATTTGACTTATTTTGGCAGTGGACTGTATTTTGATAAAGTGGTAGGTTATATGAATTGTGTAAAATAAATTCACCCTTTTATGCTGGCATAGACATCTTACTTAACTAAGAGGGCCCTCCAATGTGCTCCAGTTGATGCCCCTGGGAATCTGCCTAGGAATGGGTCGAGCGCATTTGGTAGCTAGCAGGAATTAAATTTTATCTTTTAGATTTTATCTGATCTGTTTTCACTGCTCGCTGCAACGTGACAACGCAACAATCGGGTATAAAAGCTTTCACACAAAACAGTAATACATTAAAGATTTTTGAAAGAAAAATACTCAGATGAATCTATACTGCAAATCTATACTCGTCAATATAGTCTGCAAAATAAAGACTGATGACGAAATACAGAAAATTTTAAAGAATTTTGAATGTTGAAGAAAGAAAGAATGTTGAACTGCATAAAGGCACGCAGATTCATTTTCAAACTTCAACCTTGAAACAACTCCCGTTCCACCACTTACTCCACATTCAAACTTCCGCAAACATGTAAAATTACTTACATCTGTACACTGTTTAATTTCAATCTACTGCACAATTGCAATAACAATTAACAGTTAATTAGTTAGTATTTTTTATTATTCTAAGTCAGACTAAGACCCATAAATTTGTAACTCTGTTATTATTCTTAGGGAACAGTAGTCCCAGAATAAAATTATTTTGTCATTCATTCAGATTAAGATGGATTGGACACATTATAAGGATGAATGAAGGTAGAGTACAGCAGAAGACACTGGAGTTAGTGATTGATCCAAGAGAAGAAGAGGAAGAGCCGTTGAGAGGATGAAGTTGGGAAGAATACAATAGTACAAGGAGTCAGGAATTGGAGACAGATTGACAAAGACAGAACATACTAAGCAACTCTAGTAAAGCAGACCAAGGGTCACATGAGCCTGTAGCTTCATGGAGTAAGTAAGTAGTAAGCCACAGCGATGACAACCTGCCATTATATCAACATGAATAATCAGTAAAATCATGTTATCATGATCATGTCAAGTGACAATGAAAATGTTACCTTTTTACTTAATTAAAAATAAGATAATAAAGTTATAATACTTCAGTGTTTGAAGGAGGATTCACAGATTTTAACCAATCACTCGGTGACCACAAGTAAAGTTGTAGAACATTAGCAGCAAATTCAGCAGATGGTCTCTAAAATGTAATCATTACACAGATGTAAGATAAAAACAAACAAATATTATGTTAAAAACTACACATATAATTATAATGTCAACATGATTTGCACCCAAACAGTAATGAGTAAAATAAATAAATACAGGATTAAAATTAAAAATAGCATTTAAATAATAATTTTTAAAAAATCTGGAGTTAATAAAGTATTTACATTATTCAAGGAGATAGGAAACAAGACAAATAAAGAAGGTTAATGAATTTACTGAGTCCTATGTTACCTAGAAAGTTAGCATCTAAAAAACTCGATCTTCTCAGATTGAATTAAGTATAGCCAACAAAATATGGCTTATGGCTGAAGGGTAACAATTATCAAAGGACAGAAGCTATTAATATTTCAAATGTGAAAATAAAATAAAATGTTTAATAGCAAATAAAATATTCCAATCACTTGCAAATAGTGATACTATATCTTTTTTATCTTGTTTTTAAGAATGTTTTTGAAAAAATCTGGTGCGCGCATCACAAGACTTTCACTTATCACCCTCTTCTTAGCAGTTCAGCTAAAGTATTTTCAGACCAAGGGGATTTGAAAGTAAAAATTATAGATGCTATATTTATTTATATTTTATTGTGGGTATTTTTATTTGTTTAAATAGCCTTATATATACAAATTTTAATTTTTATATCACTGTAATTTATACAATTAAATATTAAATAATACCAATGATAGCATTTATGAAAACCGCATATGTATATGTAATATTTATTTATTTATGTATTCCACCCTCCCATGCCACTATGGCAATACAGGTGTTTGCGATAATTTAGACACTCAAAAGAACTTTTTAAACAGTTTTAACAAAGACAAACTCTATTTTAGTTTAAAGTAAATTTTGTCTAGTTTACTATTGAGCAATGTAAATTCCTTACATAAAATATTTTTTTATGTTGCCACTTCCTATTCAACAAAAAACGTGACTTGCTTAAAAAACACAAATCTTAAATGTCCTACTTTTTTGCTGGAAATTGGGCAATTGTTTATATGAACTTTTTTGTAAATCTTGATGTCTACTATCAACCTTTTACATATTTCCTTCTACTTACGGGACACCTTGTATATTAAAGCCAATAAATATTTTTGATTAATTTGTGAAAGTGCTTGATAATAAATTTGTAAAAGTAGCCGATATAATAAAATGAATCCATATATTACTTATAAAAAGCATTAAGTGAATTTAGTAATAGTACCTGTGAAGGTTTTACTGTTAATAAGGATTTATATAAAGCTGTTAGAATCGGTGGGCCTGGAACATCTGGCAAATCAGATTCCTTATAAGAAGTAGAGAAGAGTGGATTTGGATTGTTAGTGCTTCGATAAAATGGGTTCCACCCCAGAAGGATTTCAGCAATCATTGCGCCAACAGCCCAACCATCTGATTTTGAATAGTCTATTCCAGAAAGTAGGCTTGGCTGAGCACAAGCCACCTGAAGCAAACAAATAATACAATTAAAATATTGAAAATTTTCAAATAGCTATGTAATCCTAGATCATGAAAAAGACTAAATTTTAAATTTTTTTTGATAAATTAACACTAAAAGTAAGAAGAAAACATAGATTACTAAAGCTGTTAGTCAGTTTATCACACATTAATAAACATCCAAGTAGCCAACACTTTATATAAGTAACGACAGCAAGAGAAAACTAAAGTGTTGCCTTAAATCCCTTTATGGCAATTATTAGGCTGAATGATAAAAACAGATTAAAAAGACAATTAACATTTACTTTGATAAAAATACTAAATTTTATATTAGAGGAACAGATACTCCTTAGGAGGTAAAAACCTAGATAGCAATAAACGACAGTGATTTATTTGTAAATAAATAATGTATGGTAAGGTTTAAGGAATGAGGATCCTTATTCAGCAACCTTACATTGATAAAATATCAACAAAAATCAATTTGATTGAAATTTCAGAGAGGCATAAAAATAAATCTCAACTATTAACGGTTTAAAAGGATCCTAACTACATATGATTTATAACACTTAAAAGACAACCTAAATAATGAATTAGGCAATAAAGAAAATCCCTTTACGAAATTCTTTTCATTCATTTAGTAATTTTATTCTGTTCTGGTAATATAATATCTATTAAAATTTATCTAAACAAATCAAAAAGTAGTTGACAATAAGATTTTACCTCTGGTGCCATTAGAGCTGCATTTCCACCCCTATTGGTGTCATAACTTCTGAATGGAATGACCAATCCTGAATTTTTTTCAGCTAAAGCACATCCAAAATCAGTTAATGCAATATTAGGGTATCCATCATCACCAAATTCCATGAGGATATTGTCACTTTTCAAATCTCTGTTAATATAAGTCAAAAATTCATAACATAAAAAATACAAAGAACAAGAAAATAATAATAAAGAAAATTAACTAGTGCACTTTCTTATTATTACAAATTATTTCTTTATTGAAATAAATAAAACTTAATTTTAAATAACTAATTTTGATGAAAAAATTACAATATGTTGTTCTGTTGAGAAGAAAAAAATACAAGAAAATACAAAAGTCTTTATGGTTTAATTTATTATTGATATTACCGTCTTCATTTTAAACCATATTCCACTCAGATGTAAACAATGCATTAATTATAGTTTGCTTTGACTGAACCTTTATTTAATTATGTGTAGCAACTGTCTCTGCCTCTCACTCCTTTCATAAATTTAATCAAAAACATTAGAGGAATAGACTTTTATTTGTTATTATTTTAAGCACTACTGAAAAAAAAAGGAATAATGATGAAGGCAACAAACAAGATAGTGTTATGGAAGGTGAAAGTGTGGTGCATTATAACATGGCTGTGTTTTAATTTATTTCATTTGTGGTCCAATTCTGGGAATAGCCTCCAAGGAGAAATCATGAGCTGAAGAGTTATTTGCGTAAAAAACCAAGATCTGGTATCATCCATACACTTCAATAGGGTAGAAAATAAAACTGATTAGTGGAGCAATAAAATAAGGGTAACATTTCAAAGAAAGAAACAACCATGGTAATTGTGCAATACAAAGAAATGCAATGTAATATGGGAATTGTTAATCCAAAGAAGAAATGAACTGAAATTAGTAGTTCAAATAACTAAAAGAAAAAGTTTAGAGAAAATCTCCAAAAAGATTATAAACATATATCAGAAAGTACTGGAAAAAGTCCAAAGCTGTAAAAGGCCAAAAATGGAAACCAATCTGCAATATAAAAGATATATATGGCAAAATACTAACTAAAGATGCAAATGGAGACAACACTATTTCCAGGTCTTTGAAGAAACTAGAAAAGAAGGGGGAGAGGAGGAAGAGAAGAAAATCCAGAGCTACAGCAGAGATATGATGACACTGTTTGGAAGAAGTGGAAGCAGCTTTCAAACCATTAAGGCGAACCCATAATCATATCTTCGCCATGATGAACATGAAAACAAGACAAAGATGTATTATCCAAGCTAAGCAATCGCCATATAAAAGATTTCAAGGACATATCAATGATAAATAGGAAAGAATCAAAGATCTTAAATAAGGAGAGAAGGGTCAAGCAAGTTGTTAGTCTCAGCTCTCTACTATATACCATATATAAATATGATCCATAAGGATGATATCCTAACATTTTGTAAGCATAGAGGAGACTAACCGCAGTTGAAATGAATATTATAAACTTATTAGCTGTCCTTACTAGAAGAGGTCGAACCTGAAATGAATGGATTAAAATGTCAACGTGCCACTAATGTTGGAGAATGCTCTAATAGTTCAATCAAGTAATGAAGATGAACTAAGGAAGAGAACCTAAGAAATTTCTTGAGGCAAGATCCACAAAATAGATATCAAAATATCAACCTCAGAAAATACGGATGAAATAACCAAACTGTGGAGAAAAGGGGCAAGAAGTTGACTTCAATGAGTATGATGGCTAAGGACTGCAATAATGTGTAAATGGGTCAAGGCTTCTCCATGGTATAAGGCAAGAAAAAGAAGACTTTTGTAACGACCTGGTATTTTAAAAGGCAATTAGTTATTCAATGATATTACAGTGATTTACAATAATGGCCAACCAGTCAACAATTCCAACATTTAATTTCAATAATAAATATACAATAGGTTCTTTAATCTGAAATTTAACTGTTAAAATAAAATAAAGTAGCAATAAATTTAAAGAAATCACAAATTATACCTATGAGCAATTCCATTTCTATTTATATGAACAATAGCTTCCAATATCTGTGCCACAATCAAGATTGCTTCTCTTCCTTCAACCTTATGCTGTTCCAAATATTCTTTTAATGTTGTATCATATCTAGAACAAAAAGTATAAAATCAAATCTTAGGAAATTATTGCTATCATCAAACGGTGTGAAAATTGCTAAAAGTAGAAAAATGTAAATTTAGATCCTAAAACATTAACAGCAATTTTTTTTTAATCTAGTGGTTGATAATGTGATATCAGATAATTATATACAAGTTTATATTTTTTTCATAATTCCAATTAAACATTTCCATGCAGAAAAAAAAAGAAAGAATATTTTGTTCTTGATTTCAGTTATTTTGCCAAAGCTTCTTATGCTACAGCTATCACTTTAATGGTTTTAATAGAAGTCCTTCTGTCAATAAAGGTAAATTTAAAAAAAATTAATTTGTGAACTAAATGAAAATATTAATAAATTGTCTATTAGTCAAACTTTTGTTCACTTGTGGGGTGACTACTGTCACATGGAAGACCATAACAAGAAACCTTTTTTTTCCCATAAAATATCAAATTTAGAGAAGTTTTTTGTCTATATCACAAAAACTAGTTTTTTTTTTTAGGAGACATAATAATTAAAATAAAAGAACTGTATACATTTTATGTTTGTAATGTTTCACTTTAAAACCATCAACTGTTAAGCCGCTATAACCTGCCTTAATATATATAAAGGGACCAAATTTCCAAAAAATTGCTTAAACAAGGTTTATTGCTCTTTACGCCAAATTTCCATAAATGCAATCAATGTTATGGTTATTTTGAACATATCTGCTATTACATTTCATAAAATACTTGAAAAACTATTAGATTACGAGAAAGGCCAGCGAACTCATTTTTTTTACTTCTCCTTTCGTATGGAAAATTCCATATATCTTGTAAATCTATGGTTATAAAACAATTTTGTACATAATGCAATTCTAGAAAAACAACAAAACAATACTATCTGAGATAGATGGGAAAACCACAAAACAAGTCAATATTTTGACATTTTTGTAAGAAAATAATCAAGATCCAAAAACCTCGGATTCACATTTAGCGATGCAAAAAATTGGTATATGTAAAAATTTAAGACAACTAAACTTTCCGAAGAAAACCTTTTTTCTTTTTAGCAGAATTTTCTCTCAGCAGATTTTAAAATTAATTGTTTTAATATACCTAAACTAATGAATAGCTATTAATTAATGAGCCTATGCATAGAACACAGAATAATATACAAATATGGTTTATTTACTTGATATGTTTTCGAGAGTGCTTGATATTATATTAATATTCAACTGATCATTATGAACAATAAACATGATTATAGAAATAGATAAAAACAATTAAGAAATACTTTCCTAACTTAACATACTTTTTTTGGCTAGTTTTTTCTTCATTAAAAGTCCTCAAAAATAAATACCACTAAAGAGGCCCAATAAAAAATACTTTTTTATGGATTAACTCTAGCTGATGTACCAGTTGTTAACGGATGTATAGTTAAAATTTGAGAATCTTTTTTTTTGAGAAGGATTCTGTATTATGGGGGAAGGGGATCCAAATTTAATTTCATAGAATTGGGTGGGGAGAGGGGAAGTTGTTTTGAATCAACCTCAACCTGAGCAGCTCTATTCCTGAGGGGGTCTTTCGACCTAACTTTCCTTTTAAGTTTGGCTGCTTTGGAAAATTAGCTTAAAATTTGAATTTTTTAAAGGCATTTTTATCAATCCATAGAAAATATTTTAAAACAATATTTAAAAAATCTCACATAATTTGTCTGCAGAAAAAAAAATAGAATTTGGTCTACAGAAAATGTTTTAAAACTAAATTTAAAATCAACAAATTTGGTTCAATAAAATACCTATTCTTTATTGTAATAGTTCAATATCAGAAGATAAAGCCTGGTCAAGTACCAAATAATTGAAGAAAAAAAAAATGATAAAACCCAAAGAAATTTGTGCCAAATGTTATTCCAATAATTCATTATCAAAGTACGAAGTCAAATTCCAACTAAACTGTACAGAAAAAATAAAAACAAAATCCCTGGAAGTTGGTACCAAATAATTCAATATACGAAGCCGGATCAAATTCCAAGTTTGTAATAATCACCCAATCAAATTAAGTTTCAATAAATTATATCGATACAGTAAATCAAATCAATATCAATAATCAAAGCCTATCTTCAAATCCAAAAGTTCCAAACATTCTCGGTTTTTATAAAGGGTTAGTTCCTTACAGTTTAACTGTTGGTAGTATACATGGTGGGCCAAACCCTCCTACCGTGCACCTCTTTTCCCTCCACATCCCTATAAATTGCATATCTTTGTGTTCCTTGTAACTATTTCTTTAAAAAACGCCAACGTTCCTACAAAAAAGGTGAGCACATTGCCCCCAAATGGCGTCCAAACATGGCAGACTTTGACTATAGTTCGTGTTTTTGTCACTGAGAATCAGTGAATTTAACAACAAAGTTTTCAAGTTCAATGTCAATCGTCGTTTATAATGGACTTAAGGAGCAGAAAAGTGGTACTGGCATATGTGCCTGCAGGCCTCTATCACACCAATCAGAACTCATAAATGGCTTAGTTATAGTGCTATAATAACGTTTTTGGTACATTATATTGATTGTACATTCTATCGTATAAACAAACAAATATTAACGCCATAATTTAATTGATTAAAAAAAATAAACAATTTTTTTTTTTTTTTAACTTCCTTTAGTCTATGCGGAGGTCATTTAAGAAGGCCTCTATTGTAAAAATGATATAAGTATAATAATAAAACTTAATTCAAAAATAATTTGCTGAATATCTTGAATTTTTTATTTAATGTTTGCAATGTAACACTTTGTTTTGTATATTTACTGATCCTTACAGGTAATTTAAATTGTATATACTTCCCGGGAAATGAATCATATTAATACCTGTTTTAAACTAAAATAATATATACCTAATCTGAACTACATATAATGAATAGTTGATGGGTTGTTTAGTAAAACTCATATATCACTAATAAACAAATTAAATTTTATTTCCTTTATTTTGGTCGGAAGTTGGACCATATTATAAATAAATAGGAAATTTTAATATCGAATGCATTATTCTCTCTGCACAAAAATAGATGGAGAGGGCGAAGCTATAAGTTCTTCTAGGAGACAGAAACTGATTGTTAGTACTATAGGTTACAGAGGTCTATAGAGAAAGGAAAACGAGCTTTTCTGAAAGACTAGTAGATATTAGCAAAATCCAAAGTGTGAGGTACGAAGTACATTGAGAGCTATTTTTCTTTCTTGATGGACTTCTCTATAACCTACCTTAATGTGATGACAGTCCCAATTTGTATCTTCTGTTCCAATGTGCAACTTCTATTCCAATGTACAACTTGAATTTCTCACTTAAAATAGAGTGGTTTTCACCATAATAAACCTCGTTTGCTTCATCCAGACCTGCTGACTTGCCAATTGCTTAGAACAAATCATTCTTTTGCTGATAAAATGGTCTTCACCATAATAAACCACTGCATCCTCCCCTTAATATTATCCAAACTGCTCCAGCATTTGACCCCCTTTCAGCAATATCTTTAAATATTCTGTTCATCTGTCTAGTATATATTCATTTAGCCATATAATGGATACTGATCCTTGTTTTATTTTCTGAGATTTTGGCACTTCCTTTTTTGTTCACTTAATGCATTTTTTAAAAAATTTCCAATTTTTGGGTTCAATTTCGCGTTTTCCTTCATTTTGAGACTAAATACTAACAATCAGCTCCAGTTACCTAGAACTTATAGCTTCCCCTTTCCCCGTGTTTTAAGCAACAACGCGTTACAGATGTTCAGGATTTCGGATTTTTTCAGTTGAGTTATGATAATTTTCTTCATCAGTTGAATAGAAAAACTTTTAAATGTGGCTCGCTGTAGAGTAGGTTGGGATGAGAATCGAAGTAACTGCCTAACCGGGATCTCTAGACAAACTCCTCAAGAATTCATAACTTTGGTTCTACTCAAATTTTGTTTTCATTTAAAGCCTATGCTTAAAATCAAGCAAATATAATATCAAAACTTCAAAAGTCTACCATTAGCAATTATTGAGCTTACCCACGGACGAAATCACGTTGGACAATGCGGACATACAGACAGACAAAAATCTTTTTCAAAGTGGATTTGGTGTCTGTAATGAATGAAATGAAAAGATATCACGAAACGGGTTGATTCTGTTCAATGTACAGACAAAACCTGTATATTATTTATATATATTATTATCTTTGTTATTATAAACAATATCCGACATAATCATGTTGCTACCCGCCGCCGCTTGACACACAAAGAATTATCCTTCTAGAATAATCCAATATGTCGATAACAAATCTCTCGTAGACACAATCTATAATGCTCAGAGTTTCAGGTAAAAGTCTAAGAATGTATTAAGAAAATATTTTTTTCAGGACATAAGTATTAAATCTTTATAATTCGGAAGGAAACGATTGTCTGTATGCCAAAGTGACATAGTCCTGATTATTCATCACCAAAGACAATATCAGTTAAGACGAGTCTATTATAAATGGTAATAATGAAATTCTAACAAATAAAGTTACCTTTTCGTAACTTAAATTACTCTTTTACGCTCTATCAAAGCCATAATCTATCTCCCGAGACATAGACCTTTCGTGCAAGTTAGGTATCTTAATAACCAGTATTGATTATGAGAGCTCGTGTTTACATGTCTAAGAGTTCAATAGAAAACTATTTGTAAAGAATAAGCGACAAAAATCGAACTTTCCACAAAAAAAAAAAATAAAATAAAAAATGAAGCGGGATTATACCATGGGGGAATAACGATCATAAGGCACAACGGATAATTTATGGAATGAAAACAAAATAAATTTGACATTGATAATTTTATACATAAATATACACGGTAAATTATTTTATTGCAACGTCGAAGTTAATTGATTTGTCAATTTTATTGCCTCGGCCTTCACCTAACTACCAATATAATCAATAACCAATTCATTTAGAAAACATGTGTCATAAAAAGATGTAAATTTTAAGGTAAAAATACAAAAAAACATTTCTTCTCT